CAAGGCTTGGACAGGTCAGCCGCCGACTACCCAACACACTGAAGCAGTGTTCAGCACACAAACACATCAGGTTAGTCTTCATGCATGTGACTGGAGAAGCCACCGTGCTCTGTCTCATTCACAAAGCAACAATCCATCTGGGGCTTCAAGATGTAAGATGTCAGGTATCACATCTGCAACTCTAAAACTTCACACAAACGCAAATCATCACTCATGTGTGACCAGGCAGCAAACAACTTCATGTTGGTTGTTTTTTAATGGTTAAAACCAACAATAAAAGCAAAAAGACCAGATATTTGTTAAAGCAAACAAGTGGTTTGTTTCGGACCAACCAAGACAGAAACTTCAAACTTTCAGGTCAGTCGACCATTGAGTCTTTTAAAAATGGCAGCGTGAGGTTCAGTGTCATGTCTTCAACTAAACAAACTACAACTACAGACTGTAAGACCCACTCCATACCAAAGCAGTCAAATCCAGCCAATTCCAGTCTGAACCTCGCTGCTTTGGTCAAGTCCAGTCCAAACCAGGTATGGTTTACTTACCATCGATCTCTCCTCCGGGGGCGGAGATCTTAGACATGCAGAGGTGGGTGGTGCCAATGACATCGTTGTGACTGGCTCTGTCCCTGGAATAAGAAAAGTCAGATGAGAAAAACAGAAGTTTTAACACATGTCCTCAACCAAACATGATGTTATGTAAAGGGTTATCTTCTCAAACTGTAGGGCACCAAAACCTTACATCTCTCACTTTTTGAAGATGTCGTTCATTAATGTGTTATACTCATCCTCTGAACTAAAGACATGATCAAGGTTTAATGAGTTCTGTACAAGTCTTATAATATATATATATATATATTTATCAGCTGAGATTCACCAGTCCAGAATTCTGATCCTCATCCTTTCGCACATGGAGGGAAACTGGAAAACAAAACAGACAACATGTGCTGTGTCATGATAACAGTGAACAAGCTGCGTTGTCCTGGTCATGGCCTTTGTGTGGTGGAGGGTCTCACCCTAATGGGCATGGACAGGCTCTGGTTCCACTGGGGGTTGGCGTTTTTCTCCAGAATCTTGGTGCAGATCTGAAAGTGAGAGAAAAAGCACAGCCCACCTGATGTTGACGACAGGGTTTGGATCACATGACCTTGACAGGTTGTTGTATCATCCATCATCATACGCACCGTTTTGCCTGCAAAGTGGATCTCCACCAGAGGATCTACCAGATTCTTCCTGTTACTGTCAAACCCAAGAACCTGCCTCATCCCGTCCATGAAGGCGTCGTCCACTGCAGACGGGAAGAAGTGATCATTATCTCTGCTTCTAAAGCAAAAAGCCATGAATCATCAACACAGACATGAACTCAAGTCTCACTCTGCGGCAGGTCTTCAGCTCTGAAGATCCTCAGGGCAAAGTTGGCTCCTCTCAGAGAGAGACCGGCCGGCCTCAGCAGTTGCCTTCAATATCCTCTTTATCCTCCACACACTCACGCCTATCAGCCTGGGACACACAGATACACATGCCTACATTTATTAATAAACACCTGCGTTCATCAACAGGAAGACAGTGTGTGTGTGTGTGTCAAACATCAAAAGTCCATTGGAGACCTCGAATCCAGTGAGACTCACCGGTGGCTCGTCTCCAGCCGCCAAGACAAACAGGCTGACTTTCAGGTAACCTTTGACCCCCCCGAGAAGTCGTCTGGGTCGCAGAGCAGCAGCCATTTCCTCATGAAGCAGTGTCCTAAAGAGAAAGAGGGGGGGAACTCAAACTCAGATTCACAGACAACAACACAAATCAAACCTTAAAGTCTACTCACTGTGCTCGTTGTAGACGGTGCCGACGTCCAGCTGTGGAGACAAAAGATTTTCCTTTTCATGTCAGATACACACCATGCACCACACACAGCACCTGAGCTGCAGCTGGAGTGACAGTTTACCTTGAATTCACCAATCACAGCATCAGTTCTGAGAGAGCGAGAGTCACACACCTATAACACAGAGAGGGGAGGGCGGGGGGGGGGTTACCTTCCAATCACAGCCGTTTAAGAATGACAGGGTAAGAAATATTGTGAGATCTGAAAGGACTATGGATGAAATGGGGATAAGGATTCAGACTCACAGTGATGAAAACGGGCTCATTGAACAGGTCTGAGGGAGTCTCAAAGAAGTTCAGGAAGAACGTCTGTGAGGAGGAACACATCACGTTGAAGTGTAAACCAACCCTGCCCGTAAAATACTCTGAAAACCAGAAGTGATGAATGATAATTGTTCACCTCATCAAAGAACGGGTTGTTGCCTTTCCTGATTCGGGTCCTCTTCGTCTGACCCGCTACTGTAACCTTGACAACAGGTTTGATGTTGATGCCCGGCAGCTGCCGCCCCTCGATGATCCGCACACGAACCTGGATGAGAGGAGGTTTTTGGGTTGAGTCCGGAAGATTCTGATGATTAATTCAAGGCCAGTCGTCTCAGACTGGTTCCATGAACAGCATGGTCCACCCCCCCGTGCACCCATACCTGCAGGTCCTGGGGTTTGTTTGGCAGAGCTTTGGACTGACTGCTGGCCCCTCTCCTCCTCTTCCTCAGTCCTCCATGGGTGTTGTAGGTCGGTGGTGAACGTTTGGGTGTCTGGGCGGTGGGAGACTCCTGGCCCGTTGGCCCCTGAGGCCCGACAATGACCATGGACCGTCTATCGTCGGCCCCCGGGTCCTCTGTGGGCTCCAGCATCATCATACTCTCGGTGTCCTCCTCGCCCAGCGTGTCCAGAGAAATCACTGCACAGACAGAGCGACAAAACTACCGATGTGCAACAAATGCTGATTCTACTGGGTGGAAGGAGACGGAGCGAGGAGCGGATGTACTGATGGATGAAGTGACAGCGTAGATTACTTGTGACAGTGTCCAGCTCCACGGTGGGGTTGGTATGAGGAAGGACCTCGGGCTGGGGAGGAGGCTGGAAGATCGGAGCTGATCCTGGGGGAGGGATGTAGGAAACCTGAAGGGTCAGCGTGGCCTGATGGAGACAGAAAACACAATATAACATCAGTCCACAAATAACCTGCACACACACCCACACACACACACACACACACACACACTTTGTGCTTGTGGAGTACCACTCAATACTGCCACTTCTAAAACAGCTTGATCGAGTGTGAAGAAGAACCCTGGGTTCTTTCAGTATGACAAGAAGATGCTGCAGAGTTGATTTGTCTTTGCAGCAGCTCAACAAGTCCTTCACATCACAGAAGCTCAGAAAGTCACCAAACTGCCCTGAGCAACGTCATTTATCAGGAACCAGGGCTCGTCCAAGATTGGAATGAGGATCTCTTACAGCGAAGCAAAAACATAGCCCCAGGCCAATGAGTCACAAACAGGTAAGGCGTTCCTCCTGCGCCGTGTCCCGTCCCACTGGGGTGGCAGGCAGAATTTCCTTCACATTATTGTGATGACGATTGGAGCAGAGTGTGTGTGTGGACCCAGAGTTGCAGAGTAGGCTCCTGCAGTTTCCTTAAACAGGAAAAAGCAGCTAAAGCAATAAGCTGTCACCTCTGTGTAAACACCACAGGTACAAGAGTCATCGGGTTTAAGACAACACTCAGGTGCATCTCATCACGTACCCCCCCCTGAGTGCAACGACAGAGGTCTGTAATCTGACAGGTGAGGGTTTCATCACCTGCTTTCTGTTGGCCTCCATCAATAATATCATGCTTTAATAACAAAAACTACTGAAGCGATTTGCACCACACTTGGGGGGGAGATGTGTCCTCCACCGGTGATGAACCCATTCAGTTTTGGTGCAGATCTGGTCGAAGGTGTTGATCCAGGATCTGGTTTTATCACTTCCTGAACATCTTTCAGCATCTTTCAACTTTTCTGTCAGGTGGAGGAAAATGGCCGACTATAACTGACCCACTGTACATCACACACACATTGTACCTACTGTAACATAAACACAGGCTTCTTCCTTTCTCCTCCATGACCTCGTGTGTGTGGTGTGTGCATCTGTGTGTGTTTGGAGTGTGTGCCATCAATCAGGTCCACTCTGACAGTGGGAGGAAGACTTTGTTTTGGGTTCAGGAAATGAGGATGGGAAACAGAGCACTATTTCATCTGCTGCACAAACACAGCACAGACGATGGCTTTAGGTGTGGTCCACCAAGGTGTGTGTGTGTTGTTTAATTTCTATTCATGTGAGGATTAATTAGAGTTTTGAAGTGTTGTGGGCGTTCTTGTGGAAAGTGAGAGCAGTTTGTCTTCAGAAGGTCATTTGACGGTCAGGACTTTTTTGAGAGTTTGAACCTGTAGCTGCAGCTGCTTCCGGTAAAACTCAAACAGAACAAGATGTTTTTTAAAAACTTTGATTAAAAGTCAAAGTGTAGTTGGCTTCATCACATTCAGACTGAATATAAGGTTGTCACTCTGCTCTGACGCAGGAATGTCTTCTTCTATTTTAAGACCCAGACAGGAAACTCAGAGTGATGTGTGATTTGTCATAGGTTCATAATACAATGAGGCTGTAGATTAATCTGTCTGTGCTTTGTGTAAGTGTGTGTGTGTGAGTGTGTGTGTGTGTGTGTGTGTGTGTGTGTGTGTGTGTGTGTGTGTGTGTGTGTGCGCTCACCCCTGTGTTGTTCCTCTTGGTGTCCAGCAGGGAGATGGTGAAGGTGGCAGCCAGGCTGGGAGAGTTGAGGACGTCCCTGAGAGCCAGTCGACACTCCCCCAGGAACCTGGACGGAGAGACCAGGTAGGTCCACAGGGGGGGGTCATGTCTCAGATACAGACTTTCATAATGAATCAAAAACCTACTGCAGCAGATGGTAGAAGTGGTCTAACTCTCCTCCAAGCTGTCGGCCACAAGACCTTTTGAACATCAAGTGGGAATCATTCCCTCTGCAGTCGACCAATGAGTGATGGGTATCACATACTACAAACTGCAGTAGCTGTAGATGGTGTGTTGTTCTCTTGGCACAAAGACTGGAAACCATGGCAATGAAGAAATGGCTCGTTGGTGCAGGGGTATGATTCTCACTTAAGGCGTGAGAGGTCCTGGGTTCAAACCCCAGACGAACCCAAACAGTATCATGTGCTTTCACCTCCAACTGACAGACTCGTGGACTTACTTTGATAAACTTAGTGGAGACTGAATTACAACTTGACTCAAGTTATCGTACGTTAAAGCAGCACAGAATTATGAGAAGATGAGAAACTGAATGTGAAAACTCGATGGAACCAGCTCTTCTAAAGAAAGTGAAGACGTTCAGCAGACGCGCCAACAAATCTTTAACACTGTGTCATCAAGATGAGGAGAAGTTCGTCTGTCAACACATCGAAAGTTCTCTTTCACAGTACGACTACAAAATCTACACAAACAATCAAGATGTGATAACTGTGTTCAAGCCACCATGAAGTCACCATTCAGGAATGTACAAACAATGACAGTGAACTCGTGTGGTCACAGAGTGCCACGAATCAATGAATCAGTCGACACATCATTTGAACCAATGGGTGGAAATACATGTGAATAAATACACAACACCCACAATGAAAGGATGGCCTGATTCTTTCAAGCCTGCACCCCCCCACCCCCCCTCTGAAGGACAAATCTGACATCTCGATGTATGAGGGACGACCCAAAAATAACCCTGTGGAGGGGTGTTTTCACCAAACAAACAGCTGTGGACTGTGAACACTCGTGTGTTAGCGCCCTGAGTTTGGTCTGATCCGTCCACAGCCTCTCCTTCTGACAATGCTTCAGCTCTTATCTCAGTTCCTGAGCGAAGGGGAGAATGGCTGACGGGCTGGATGAGAGTTCCCATGGATACGGGGTTACTATAGTGGGACTGGACGAACAGAGCTTTGGGGTGAATTGATATTGGGGTTAAATGAAAGGTCAGGGACTCATCAGTCAGTCCAATCTGTCCTCTGGGGACCATGAGCATGTCTGTACCAAAACGCACTTAAACCACCAGAGGAAAAGCCAGATGTTTCAACATTATAAAAGCAATTGATCCATTTTTACTGCAGCTGGAAGCAGATATCCACACGCTGTACCTGTTCCTTCCCATCTTCTCATGGTCTTTGACGACACAGTGCAGCTCTGCTCCAGAGTCCAGAGGAATCCCCTTCAGGTCCCACTCAAAGCCCTGACAGACACATCAGCAGAAAATTACAGAGAGTGCTGCAGAGTTGGAGGAAACTGTGACAAACGCAACACATGTCCAGAGTTTGGAGGTTCAAGCAGCTGCAGAACCAGCGGCAACTCCAGGAAAGAAGGGATTATGGAGATACATGGTGGTTATGGTGTTACTGGCTGCTCAAATGGTTGTGATTGTTAGCATTAGCATCGAGAATGTTGAAAGCAGCGCTTCAGCTTCACTTCTGGAGCTGCAGTGGATTTGAGATAGTGAGCAGGACGTACCTCATTCCAGACGGGGTTGGGTTGTTCTTGATGACCTTTGTCTTCTTCTTGGACCCTGAAAGAAGATGGAAAAACCAGAACATTAGAAAACCAACAATGAATCCTTATGAGTCCAAACGGCGCTGTCTTTGAATTAGGCTAGTTAGCATACAGCGTCAGGTTCAAGACTTGACTGCCTCTAGTTCTGATGTGAAAGATCTACTATGACTATTTGTCAGTGGTATCTCCTGCTGATGTCGTTCATTTATTGATCATTAACATAAACTGGACCTGGAAGTGGAAGGACCACATGTGAGTAACATCAGAGGACATCAGACGTTTTACATTTTAAAGACAGCAGCTGTCTGTATAAGAGGAACATGTTAGACCTTTATGAATGAACGTTAAGACGCTGATGTTTGTGAAGAAACGAAACTCACACGTTTCATGTAAAATGATAGTGAAAGGTGTTTCTAGTTAAGTGTGGTGACGTGGCAACAAGCTTTAAACCAACTGTGGTTTTATGTGTATGTGTGTGTGTCTGTGCTTGTGTTTATGTGTGTGTGTGTGTGTTATCTTTCTGTGGCTTCCTGTAACATGAAGTACTGAGCTCTGATTTCCTGGCTGTCGGGCGCTCACACAGGATGCAGGACGTAAGACGCACTAGTAAACGGTGAGTTTATCATTAATTCCTGAAGACATCTAACACACACACACACACACACACACACACACACACACACACACATGATTGTGAATTATCACATTGGGCACAAGTATCATCATTTCCACTTGGTTTGAAGTCAAACAGAAGGACACACACACACACACACACACACACACACACACTCACAGATGTTCTTTCCAGATGAAAGGAAACACAGACAATGACTATTGTCTGATTTTAGAAACTGCTCATTAATTTTATTGGAATTAACACTGGACTGAGAATTATAATGTCCAGGTTATAGCCACGTCCCAAATACACACAGTGTACTCGTTCTATACAATCAGTAATAAATAATAATCACATCTGTTCACTGTTTTAGCAGCGAGAATGAAAACATCAGAAAGCATCTGGTCTGAACAGGAAGTCAGCGACCGATTTTACATGACACACACTGGTTCTGTTGCGTCACTACCCACAATGCATTTGCTCTATGTGTCGTATAGGTTTCTATGACCAACCATCTACTTAACCTCAACAATGAGTGAAGTACACTCTCTCTCCCTCACACACACACACACACAGACGCACACACACACGCAGTGAAAGGCTGTTTGGTTTCCTGTTTTCCTCTCTGTCACCCACAGGTGTGAACCTACGTAAGTTCTTGGAAGATAACTTAAAAAAACACCTCCACCCTTCCACAAGAGGGGTGAAGGGTTACGTCGTATTCGTGTGTGTGTGTGCGTGTGTGATATTTGAGTTGAGCATCTCATAAACAAGAAGTGGCACAGAGTTTACTTCCTGGTTGGCTCAGCTTGGCACAGCTTCTGTCATGAGCCCAGAATAGGCCTGACTGTGACCCGGGGGCCGAGGAGCCTAAGTTTAGACCCACAGGTCTCAGTGCTGCTGCGTTTGGGGCCTGTTGGACAGCAGGGAACTAAGAGTTGTTGCAGCTGGCCTCGTCTTTAAAAAGGTCATTTTTAGGAGTTTAGGTCAAGGGTTAAGATTAGCATCAGGAGGAGGCTACAAATAACTACCTGCCAATCATGATCCTGAACTGTCCTGACTTCTCTGGTAATATGTCATAGGGGCGAAGCCTTTCAAATGAAACTCTCAGAAATAATGTAGAATCCAAGACCTCAGATAAAGAGGCCACGCCTCCATAGGCCACGCCCCCAGAGATTGCATCCTCCAAAGGCTGCAGCAGCACATGAACGCCTCGTACATCAGCAGCGACTCCCTGTTTTCCACTCACTTAAATAAGTTCAGTGATTCAGTGTGTGTGTGTGTGTGTGTGTGTGTGTGTGTGTGAGCTATAATTAGCAGCAGCGTTGCCAGTTTTTATTTCTGGGTTTTGACAAAGAAAAACACTTTGAGTTCCAGTAACAACACTCGGGCCGGAAATCCTGCCCCCCAGCGCCCAAACACAAAACACGTTGTCACATTTAATCACACACACACACACACACACACACATGCACACACACACACAATGTAAATGACAGCAGTCGACAAACTATACCAACAACCAGAACTTCACTCTCTCTGTCTCGCTTCGTCAAATCTGCAACTGACGAAAAGATCCAGGTCAAAGAGGTCACAGTTCAGCGGATCAGAGCTCGTTAACCATACGAACACGTCAGGATGCATCCATCAAAAAAAGCTAAACAGTTGTCCTTTTACTTCAGATCTGTGTTTTTAATCTGACTTTATTCTGTATTTACACACACACACACACACACACACACACACACACTTCTCCCTCCCTCCCTCAGCTTCCTCCTCTGATTATTATCGTCTCTAATTGCTATATATGGACACGGTATCTGTGCTTCAGGAGGGGAGGGAACTCTCCCTCACTCTGCTCTAAATTCCTGAAGTCGCTGTAAACCAGAGACACAGAGAGATTCAAGATCAGAAACATCCCATAGTGGCTCCTACATTGCCCATAATGCACCAGCAAACTGAGGAGTCAGAGACAAGATGTTTAAACTGACGGGAAATGATGACGGAGACAAAACTCTGTCATCGACAGATGAAATCATCAGTTGATTGATCGATCAGTCTGAAAATCTGAAAATCACTTTATAGATTTTGGTAATGATGAATCATTTCAGTCATTTTTTGTGTGTTTGCTGCTTGAAAACTACTTTTATCAACAACTGGGCTCAAAATGAACAAATAGACTGAAGGTTGAGATGTGGACACATGGTTCCTGTAGAAGACCATGGTCCATGAGACGCCAGAGAAACGACACATCAAACCTGATGTGTGGTTTAAATGTGTAAAACCTGATCCACGCAACAACAACACTTTCACTCTGGTCCCTTTAGACTTGATTTTCAGAATAAAACTAGGATGTGATTGAGGTTGATGTTGGGATAAGAAGGTTCCCACAAGTATAAATGAGCTCATGTGTGATGGCACCAGGAAACCAGGCTGAGACAAAGGCAGGAAGTTAAGAGCAGTGCTCACCTTAATAAGGAGGCAGACACCGACTCGTGTAAAGTACAACAACAACAAACTGATGGAAAAACAGGGAGCTGCTGAGGCCACCTCCACCCTGAGCCATTCAGCATCCACCCCCACCCACCCCCATCCCCATCCCCCCTCCTCAGATTCTCAAGCCTTCAGGTCAACTGGTTTAACTCTGGGAACAAACCTCAACATGTGATTCTGAGTCGCCATCAGGGTTTTCTGACGCTGACATGTCAACAAACCGCTGAACGGCTGCAGATGTTTCACTTCAAATCATCATCAAACATCAGACTGACTTCACTGAGTTCCCTCTGGCAGGAAATGTGCTATAAAAATAAAGTGTCTTCTTCAGGCTGCCTGCACCCGCAGGTTTAAAACTCCTGACATCTGACAGTCTGAAGCTTCGACACTGTTTCTGTGTCTGCCTCACACTTGATTCAAAGAGGTTGTCAATGAAAGCAACAATACGACGTGTACTCGCAGTGATGAACCTGCAAGAACCGACCACATGGAGCTGCACCCGTCT